GTAAGTGCGCGGCAGAGTCGCCCCAGCGCATTCCTGCGGGGGACGGCGCTGGGCAATTGCGCGAGCGCTCATTTGCGATTTGCGGCTCGCCATTGATATTGCCTCAAGGGCCGCCGCGGCGCCGAGCGCAGGCCCGGGGCGCGAGATCGCGGCCCTGGCGCGCCATTAAAAGGTCAGAGCGGCAGCGAGTGGATGCGCCCCGCGCGGATGTCCGCAATTCTTGGAAGCTGCCCCAAATCGTGAGGCAGCGTCGTCAGCGGGGTGAAGTGGCGGGCCAAATTGGCGCTGTGTGCGGTCGATGTTGAATCCGAGGTGGTAGAGCCCGATGGGCTCGCAACGCGGGGCACGCGCTTTCGTTGCGGGGCAACGCATGCGAATTATGTGTCCCACCTGCGGCTAGCTTGCGCATTGGTTCGAGTGCCTGTTGACGCGTTCGACCACTCCGCAGTTCAGCGAGCCAAGCAAGCGATCAGGGCGACATGGCAATGGCGCCCGAGGATTTTCATCCGAGAGGGTCTATTGATAATGATAATGCAAGCCCTCGGCGGCGAGCGGCGCGGACGGCAGCTAAGCATGCTGTTCCTGTGTGCGCACGTATTTCTTCTCAGGCCCCCGTCGGAGGCGCTGCCGATTGTCGTCGGATCGACAGGTGCTGGGGCGAAGAGCGACCGCCGCAAATGTGTCGTCCTCCCTGGCGAAACGAACGCTGCATTGCGGCTGGCCTGGCGCATGGACCAGCGGGGCCCGAGCACCCTGTCCCGGTCGTGCTGGTGCAAGCGACGCCAGGCGACGTGCCCCGTTCACGTGCTGGGATCGTTCCTGGCCAGCTTCCCTAAGAATGCCGCCCCGCTCGCGCAATTTCGCCCGCTTCATGTGCTGGCAACACTTCGGGGAGCGCTCCTGAAGCTCGGGGCGCCCAGGGCACAGCGGTGCCGGGCGCCCGATTTCGGGCGGGGACACGCGTCAGATCTTGCGACGCGCGGGGCCCGCCTGGCCGAGATTCTGCGGGGTGGCGATTGGAAGTCGGCAGCGTTGCTCCAATGCCTTGACCGCGAGGAGCTGGAAGGCGGCGCGGTAGACGAAGCGCATGGCGTTGCATCGCCCAGCGACGATGCGAGCGTGGACGACCCGTAAGTGCGCCCGCGCACCAGGAAAGCGCGCGAGCAGGAGCCCCCCGGAGAGGGCGCCAATTTGCTCGCCCCGCTGGCTGGAGGGGGAAAGGGGGGGGCACCGCGGCGCCCTCCCGGCGAACAGCAGGTCGGCGGGGGGAGGGGGGGGGGGCCTTCGGCGGGCGCCAGAGCGGGCGTCGCGGCGGGGCACCGCCAAGCATTGGGCGGTGTTCGGGGGCGGGTCGCGTCACCCGCCGCCGCCGCCCGCTCGGCGCTGTCCTGGCTGCGCCATGTCCGTTCTCGCGTTATGGCGGTGCGGACGCCGCGCGAGGAGATTGCACCAAGCTATTTTTGCTGCGGATTTGCAAGCGAAGCATAGCGGATGGTCACAAAAATACCGCAGGTGCTTCAGCGCGCGGCGCGCGCCTACGGAGCGCTCGGCGCCGCGCGCGCGCGTGTCGCAGGCGGGCATGCCGGGCAGACGGACCAGGCGGGGCGCGCGTGCAGGGGGGCGCAGCTACGCGCGCCCCCGCCGCCGCGCGCGATCGCAGGTGCGCGGGCGAGCGAGCGGCCCAACCCCGCGCGCGCGACCGCGGGCCTGTGCGCGGCGCAGGTGAAACTAATACGTTATTACTCAGGAGCGCCACGCGTGCCCGCCTCTGGACTTCTTGCCCCCACCCTCACCGCCCTGTGTTTAACTTGGCGATCTGGGCCTGTCGCGGTGCCGCCAGGGCCAGAGCGGGGCGGCGTTCGGGGGCGGGTCGCGTCACCCGCCGCCGCCGCCCGCTCGGCGCTGCACTGGCTGCGCGATGTCCGTTCTCGCCTTATGCCGGCGCAGACACCGTGCCAGGATATGGCACCAAGTTGTTTTCGTCGCCCCATTCACCCCCAATTTTCCCACCCGTTGTCGACGAAGCCGGGTCATTCATCATCAGCTCCGCAGCTTCACATACATCTGCATATGAGTTCAGTTACGCCCAGGCTCGCTCATACTATGCCTCGCCCACAACACGAGCCAATTGCACACGGACTACATTGTTTGCCATCGTCGACCCCAATCACGGAGTTTTGCAATCTATGTGGTGCCATCTCCAGGTGGTGCAATCAATGTGGTACAATTTAGGTGGTGCAGTTCATGTGGTATAATCTATGTGGTGCAGAGCAACGCAAAGCAACGCAACACAACGCAATTCAGCGCAATTCAAAGTACTGTGCAAGAAAGCAATGCAAGCGGGCGGCGGCGACGGGCGGCAACAAGCTTGCGGGGCCGCCAGCCAGGCCAAAGCGGGCGGTGGCGGCGGGTGGCGTCGGGCGGACACAAACCAGTCGCACCGCCAGGCCCAGGCGGACAGCGGACGCGGGCGGCGACAAGCCGATTGGACCGCCATCCAGGTCGAAACGGGCGGCAGCGACGGGCGGTGACAAGCTGGCCGGACCGCCAGCCAGGCCCAAGCGGATTGCGGCGATTGGCAGCGACAAGTTCGTCGGACCGCCAGTCAGACCCAGTTCTGTAGAAGAGAGATTTCCCACGTGCAAGCATCCTGTGGGGAATAGTCCTTATCAATTAAAGCCCACATTTATACCTACGCAGACTCATTCGCACACAGAGACCTATTCGTATTCGAACTCGCTCATGCCCAGGCTCACCTCTACGCAGATCACCGAAGTAGGCTCATTCACGGGCGGGTCTAAGCCGAACCCGCTCATACGCAAGCTTGATACGACCCACGGGGGCCGCAAACTCTCTCGCGGTCGGGCTTGCCCACACTCGTATCACCCATGCTCATGGTCAACTTCGCCGGGTCACCATATGCACGCCAACGCAGCATTCCCCCCACGCGCACATGTTTGGCCAGAGTCCCATGATCGCCGCCATGTAGCAGGCATGCTGCGCTTCCCAAGTGGCAGCCGCAGTGGGTATGGTGTAAGGGCCCAGTCGCGCTCATATTTTGGGGTCTTCTCAAGCGAAGGGGGACGCCTCAGGCGAAACGCCTCTTGTTTCGGCCTGTGGGCGAGCCATTAGTGGGCCCTGGAAACAACAGGTTTTTTTTTACCGGTTCCGTTGTGCCGTTTGTTTGCCGGTTCCGACGCCGTTTTTTTACCGGTTCCGTCGCCGTTATTTTACGGGTTCCCGCTCCGGTTCCAATCCTGGAGCCGTTTTTGTTGCCGTTTCCCGTCGCCGCTTTTGTTGCCGTTTCCACTGTCAAGGGACATTTTTTCGGAAACGGTGAAAAAACGGCCCTGCCGCTTCCGGGGCCCACTAAGGGCGAGCCTCTTTTCAGAGCCGTATGTAGGGGGGTTGGAGAGCCGCTTGCCCTGCATAAGGTCCGCCGCGCGGGCTCGCCAATCGTCGTGCGCACAGCGAGCAGCAACCCTCAGAATCGCTCCGCTCGAAGCCCTCCTTGAACACTGCCACAGCAGGGGCCTTGCGCGAGGGTGGGGTCGATGTGTTGGGTGGGCTTCGCCAGCTGGGATGGCGTGACCGAGAAAATCCTTCCAAAGGCAAGGCTGCGTCAGGGCCGATTGGATTTCGCCGACACGCCCAGCGAGGTGACGGCGTGGGGCCCGGCGGCTTCCGCAGCGCAGCCTCCAGAGAGCCCGGAGGCGGGTACGGGAGTTATTGGGTTCGCTTTGGAGCCACAAGCGCGTTCAAGGAGGGGTTGAAGGCGGGTGTGAGGGGTGAGCGCGGGGGTCGGCGGAGTTGGATCTACACTTGTGGAGGACCGCTCGCCAGAGCCTGTCTCGCCGGAGCACCAGCTGGATGAGGGCGGTGTTCAATGACACCAACTGTCGGTTGTTTGATTTGGTTGATGAGGGTAGCGGCGAATCCGCGAAGGGGAGGACAGGGGGGGCAGGGGGGACGGGGGGGGCAGTGCAGTAGCGGCTGCGGCCGCGCCTGCGTCCGAGGCGCTGGCGTAAGCGTCGCGAGGCGTGAGACGAACAGAGAAACGGGACCTCGGGCAACCGTGCCGTGCCACCGCAGGTTTGCTGTCTGAGCTTGAATGGGGGCCCTGCACCCTGGCTGCTCTCGATCTGGAGCGCTGTGGGCCACGGGGGCTGGTGCCTGTGGCACTACGGGGGGTCAGCGCGACGAGGGATTCCGAGGGGGCGGGCAACGTGAGGACGCGACGGATGAAAACGAGCAGCATCCAATGTGGCGCAAGGTGGGTTTCGGTGAGGGGAACACACACACACACACACACACACACACACACACACACACACACGCAGTCACTCTCTCTCTTTCTCTGACGCACACACGCATACGAACACACACGCACACACACACACACACACAAACACACTCGCACGCACGCACACACACAAGTATACACACGCGCACGCACATCAATTCAAACACCCGCTCACATTCGCGCTGTCTTGCAGTTGCAGTCGGCCTGCAGCTAACCAGCCACGCGCCAGCTTGCATGTGATTGTTGTAGACTGCCGTGTCGAGTGTGTGTGCGAGTGGCTCGTGCCCTGGAGATCTTTGGCGGGCCTCGTTGGGCCCTATCGCGTGCCTCCTGGGGCCTCTTGGACCGTCTCGCGGGGCTCCTGGCCCGACTGACGCCTTCGCAAGCCGCCTTGGGGGGCAGCGATGCCCATGGGCGGGGCGACCTTCAGACTGCAGTCAAGACTCTGAAATAAAGACCAGTGCGGGTTCGGAATGGGCTCGTTGTTCTTTGGGCATTTTTTTCCATGGTTGCTCCCTCAGCGCTTCTCGTGCACACAGGCGCGCGTTGGACACGACACTAGAGGCCCTGTTCCACATTTGACGTCCCTCGTGGTAGCATACTGATTGTACCATCCCCCATCTCATCCCGCTTACCCCATGGCTCGTTTCCTCGTCTGGCATCCCTCTCTCGGTGTCCCCTTCCGCGGCGCCGCCAGGGTAGCCAAGCTTGAGACGCCCAACGTTTCCCGCCTCGTGAAGGAGCAGGAGTTTTGCGTGAGGGCAGATTGGCGGCATGGCGACCCGAACACAGGGACGCTGCACGAGGCTCGCCCGCGAACGCGTGCTGCCAGACGTCTGTCCCGCTGCTCCCCCAGTTTGCCCTTGCGTGGCTCTTGGTACATTTTGACGGGCGATGCACGGTATGTCGTAATCTTGTCCGCCGCCATAAAGAGGCACGTTGGGGCACAAGATGCTCCAGCCGCCATGGGACAGGTCGGACAGGATCCCCCGATAGCAGAAACGTTTATGTCGTGTCGCTCCACCGCTGCTAAAGTACAGGCCTCGGAACAAATTAGCGAACACATGCCACATTCATCCGTCAACGCCTCCCCGTCCCCCCAATGTTCAAAGTTGGAGAACGGGGTGTTCTGGGAGTCCCCTCGGGGGGAACAAATCACAACAACAAACAACGCGGAAAACGAAGATGCGACGACGCGAGTTGTCGGGTCGGCATGGTGAAGTTTTGCTTTTGAAAAGAACGCCTCAGCATGTTTTTCTGATGGGGGGAGGGGGTCTTTGTAATTCCGCCACACAAGGAACTTGTTGTTTGTCAATCCGACAGAAAGAAATCAATTTGTAATCCGCCACAGAAGGAATCAGGTTGTATTCTCTCCACAAAAAGGAAGCAGTTTGTATCGCGGTATCGATGAGCCGAAACCTTGTGTTTTCACAGGTTTGGCGGCTATCAGGCGTCCAAAACTTTTGTTTTCCTTAGGTTTTGCAGCTTTTTTCGCATGGTTTTCTTAGGATGTCCTTGTGTTTTTTTTTGTTTTTTTTTGCATTTTCTGTCTTTTTTGCATTTTCGCGCGTTCGCGCCCTGGCGCTGGGCCGGCCCTCCGCGCCGCCAGGAGCGGGCAGGCGAAAATGCGAAAAAGGCAAAAAAGGCAAACAAAAAAAAAGAAAAGAAACAGGAAAATCAATGACATCCCAAGACGAGGAGTAGGATGAGGATGAGGAGGAAGGAGAGGAGGGCGAGTAGAGGGAAAGGACGAGGAGTAAAGGACGAGGGGAATACAGGAAAGGGGGTAGAGCATTAGTTATCCTCACTCCGTTCTCACAGTCATTCGCTCTTTCGCGTCATTGTCGCGCCGCGACGAGGTTCTGGCTCAACCCATCGCACTGTTCCTTTGCAGATCCAGGGGAAGGGAGTTGGGGAACTCAGGGACTCAGTAATCTAGGAACCCAGGAACCCAGGAACATAAGAAACCCAGGAACCTAAGAACCCAGGAACCCAAGAACCCAGGAACCCAGAGACCTAATAATCCAGAAACTCAGGGACCTAAGAACCCAGGAACCTAAGAAACCCAGGAACTCAGGAACGTACGAACCCAGAAACCCAGGAACTTAGGAACCCATGAACTCAGGAACTTAAGAAACCCAGGAACCTAAGAACCCAGGAACTTAAGAACCTAAGAACCCAACATTTCAGGAACCAAGAACCCAAGAACCTAGAAAACTCATGATCCAAGAATTAGTAAATTAGGAACCCAGGAACCCAGGAACCTAAGAAGCTTGCCCCCTACATGATCATACATATTATTTCGTACGCGTTGTTATTCTTATTATTCTTATTCTTCTTATTATTCTTATTATTCTTATTCTTCTTATTCTTCTTGTTCTTTTATTATTATTCTGATTGTCAGTTCCACTCTTCTTCATATCATTTTTCATCTTCTTCACTGTTCTTTATTTGGCGGCGTCCTCATAATATTTCTCGCCTGCTGCGGCCGCTTGTACGCATGCCTCTCATGAGGAGAATGAGCAGGAGCAGGATGGTGATGAGGAGGAGAAGGACGGGGAGGGTGAGGACGAGGGAGGAGGGGGAGGATGGGGGAGGATACGGGGGAGTGGACTGGAAGGAAAAACATGGAAATGGGAAGCAATCGCATGCAACTTGTGCCATTGGCAAAAAAAAGGTGTTTAGGCTCAGGCCTCCGCTAGAACTCCGTTGCCTGGAAGCATGGGCAACCCAGCGAAAGGCACAGAGGCGTACTTTCGGAAACTTGAGAAGAACCGGGAGTACCAAGCCAAATTGAGGCTTGAAGCTTACCTCCAACAAGATCGGACCAAGCGCCTGGTGGCGACCTTCCGCCGCGCGGCCCTCGAGAAGGTCCGCGCGGCGGTCCGCAAAGCGACGGAGCAGCACCAGAAGAAAGAAGACGCTTCGAAGACCATGGTGCAACAAAAAACACCATACCACAACCCAGCGTCTAATTAATGCCACGCAGAAGCGACACGATTCGGAAGCACAGTATACAACGTGAGTGATATACTATGCTTCCGAATCGTGACGATTCTGCGTGGCATTGGATGGCGCCTCCCTTTCGTGGCTCGTCCACAGGAGACGCTCCAACGAGCACACGCGGAAGGCCCAGAGCGCACGGGAGGAGGCGAAGACTTGGCAGGCCGAGGCGAAGACCGCCTGGAAGGAGGCCAGGAACTGGAAGCTCGGCTTCCTTCAGGATCGCGGCGGTAATTCCTGCTACAGTTTAAACGTAAAAAAAACAACAACAGCAACAACAGAAATCGCGACCCGCGCCTGTCTCCTCCCGAGGAGAAAAAGAAGTGCGAGGGAGCGGAGAAGAAGGGGGCCGCGACGCAGAGAGCGCTCACGGAGGAGAAAGAGAAGCTGCGCAAGAACTTGGTGCGCGACAAGGCCCTTTGGCATATTTTTCACAAATGCTACGAAGACCACGGGCGGCGGACGTGCGGTAACGACTGGCGGGTGCGATTAGCATCTCGCACAGCAGGGCGCTACCGCAGGTCGTCCGCCCGCGGCCTGTCGCGGCGGCAGTGGAAAGCACGCTTGTCACCAGGAGGTGACCGCGAGCATGAGGCTGTGCCAGCGCCTCCAGCAGCGGAACCGGTACCTCGAGGCAGAGGTGGCGCTGTGGGAGGCCTGAGCTTTTGGCCAGCGGAGAGCCAACGAGCGGCGCCACGGAGCACGGTAGAAAAGGGGCATCGCATTTTGCTATGCCCCCCTGGGGAGCCGCGCCCCTCATCTCCTCTTCCCGTGTGCCTCCTTCTGCCCCCTGCTGCGCCTGCTGCTGCTACGACTACTACTACTACTACGACTACTACTACTACCACTACTACTACTACTACTACTACTACTGCTGCTACTACTACTACTACTAGTACGGCTACTACTATTACTACCACTACTGCGACTATGATATATTATCATTCGGACAACGGCCTCTCCTGATACCACTACATTCACACGTGCGGCCATCACTACGACTAGTACTAGTGCTAGTAGGCATCACGTTTTGACCGTTTTGGGGGGTCGCTGGGGGGGGGGGGGGCCGAGCAGTTTTTGTAGCGTTTTGCAAAATATGGAAAATAGTGTTTTTATATTTTTTTGCTCTATTTGTAGTTCTGCATTCAAAACAAGCAAATTCAACGTAAAGAGACGCAACCCCGATTGAAGAACGAACGCCCTTATCTCGCAATTGATGCGTTTCATGCAGTTTTTGTAGCGTTTTGCATAATATGGAAAAATAATGTTTTAATATATTTTTACTCTATTTGTAGTTTTCTAATTCAAAACAAGCAAATTCAAGGAAAAGGAACGCAGGCCCGCTTGAAGAATGAACGCCCTTATCTCGCAAGTGATACGTTTCATGTAGTTGTTTTAAGGTTTTACAGAATATGAAAAATAGTGTTTTTGTACATGTTTTGTTCTATTTGTAATTTTTACTTCCAAACAAGCAAAATCAAGGAAAAGGAACGCAACCCCGCTTGAAGAATGAACGCCCTTATCTCGCAAGTGATGCTTTGCGCGCAGTGTTTGAGGTGTGCGTTAGAAATATGACAGCCGTATTGGGCAGCCTCTTGGAAGCCACTTACGGCGTCTTGAGGGCCGTCTTGGAACCACCTTAGGCTCCGTGTCAGAAGCCGCTTAGCCGTCTTGGAACCATCTCGGGGCCGCCTCTTGGGAGTCGCTTAGACTGTCTTGGAACCATCCTAAGGCGTCTTCGGGCTGAAGGGCACGGGCCGTCTTGGAACCATCTTGGGAACCGTCTTGGAAGCAACCTAGGTGGTCTCAGAAGCGTCTTAGATACCCGCGCACAACAAGCAAAATTGATTTCATCATGCGGACGATCGTGCGGTCAATGTAATATAATTGTTGACTTGCGGCGATGAGTGTTTAGTCATGATGGCAGCTTCGCATTTGCCATGCATGGGTTATATCCGTAGTCGCGTGAGCATAACAAAAATGGCCCGACCGTCAATTGCACGATGTGCATTTCGATGTAGACGTCACTCTGCAATTTGATTACATGTTCCATGCGCATTTCGTTTTGCATCCCCCAGATGACAATCCACGGGGCAACCCGCGGGACAATCCACGAGGCGACCCGCGGGGCAATCCGCAGGACAACTATGGGACGATAGACGGGGCAGCCAACGGGGCAAGCCCACGGGGCAACCCGCGCGGCGACCTCGCGGGTCAGTGCGGGACAGCCCACGGGACAACGACAGGTAGCTGTGCAGGTCGATACTGCGTTCTGCTTACCATTGTCTCATCATTGCACGTTGTGAGAAGAGTAATCTGCCGCCGTAACCATTTTTGCCCAAGTTCTGATTTGCAGACATCTGTGTCGTGCTCATCATACTCGCCCACGCTCTGTGCATTCGAGGTACTCTTGTTCTCTGTACTGCAAAGCACTTTCGTGGAAACCATGGCGTTTGTCCGGGGTCGTTCCCCCGCTCGTAACCAGTCGGTGGGGCCCGCGTGCGTGGAGGTGAAGAACACGTTCATCAACCTCACTTGCGAGACCCAGATGGCCTCGCAGCGCAGTGCCTCGGCCCCGCCAGCGAGCCGCCAGACGCCCCGCGCGAGCATGGGCGCCGTTCCGATGATGCCCCTCCAGGGGTTGGAGGCGGAGGCGCCGCGTCTTCCGACTTAGAATGGCAATGCCCGCCCGCTGCCGATGGACCCAAAAACGTACAACATGCTCGTCGCCGACCTCCAGTATTGGAACCGCCGCAACCGCAGTGCACCTGCGTGGGGCTTCACGCAGAATCCCGTCGGCACGCGCATGAAGTGGGCCAATTGGAGACCTGCGTCAGAGGCCGAGATAGCGAAATTCCGCCTGACGCACATGAGTACGTCAGAAAAGGAAGTTGAGACAGTGCAAACCAACAAACGGATTCTGCAGCCGACGCGCGCGCCCCGCAAGAAGGCGACTCGCCGGTCAACGGGGATCAGCCAGCGCGGGGCCAGCGGCGGCGT